CTGAAACCACGAGGCAAGCTGGACTCTTTGGAAAGTCCCACTGGCCTTTCTTCAACGAAGACAAATAAATCTCCATCAGCTGCCCTGGAAGGTCAGCGGGAACCCTTCCCTGGCTCTTCCATTGGGTGACGGAGTCCTGAACGGCCACTCACTCCCTGGAAGCACCCGCGTTAGAAGGGTCACCTTGTGGGAAGGAGCTGGCAGAGCTGGATGTCAACAAGTTTATGAGTCTGTAATAACCAGAGAGCAGACACAGACGCAATTCCTCTTGTGCAAGCACAGCAATGGTGGAAGGTTTGCTCAGAGCATCCATTAGTAATAATAATAACAACAACCAGCACTTATATAGCACTGACCACGTGCCAGCCTCTGTCTTAAGTAGTTTACATGGATTCACTCCTTTAATCCCCACATCATCCCCCGTGAGCACTTCACTCCTCCTAGGGTAAACCAATCTTATCCCCACTTTCCCAAGGAGGAAACAAGGTCAGAGAGCTTAACTCCCTCGCTGAGGCTGCCCGAGCTGTAAGTTGGGCAGACTGAGCCTGAGAGAGGGGGTGGGTTTGCTCAAGGTTCCGTAGCCTGGAGACCACCAGATCCCCACCGAGGACCCTGCCCACCACACAAAGGCTGGACTGCCGGGGTCCATTCCTAATTCTCTTGGTTCCGGTTCAGGCTGCACAGAATCCTGCTTCCCTGGGCAGATTGTAAAGGATTCCCTTATCTTTGGGGGTGGTGACGGCACCTCCCTGGGGGAAAGCGAGCTTGGGAAGCCCCTTCCTCTGCCTCATCACAGACCTCTGCATGGTCTGGTCTGGCTGGGTCGTGCTGGGTTTTGATGGAGACCAACTGCTCTGGGGAGGCTGCACCTCTACGCTCAGCAGTTCAGGCTCAGATAGAGAGCGCCCCTCCACGTGCCCTTCCTCTGTGGTCCCACGGGGTGGCATGTAGCATGATGGTTGAGACTATCCAGGAACCACGCCACCCTGTACAAGTCCCACTTCTGCCACCTACTCGCTGTGACCTTGGGCAAGTTCCTGAACAACCTCTTGCCTTGGTTTCCTCGCTGCAAATGAGAACAGTGCCTACTTCACAGACTTGTTAGGAGAAATGAAGGCGTTAATGCATGGCAACTGCTGGGAACACTGCCAGGCACTGGATAAATTTGCTAATTGTTATTATTTATTCCATGGCATAGCAACGGTCACTTTGATTGTCCTTTCTCCCCATTCGGCTGGAAGCTGTTTGAGAACAGGGCAGTGGCTCAAGGTCAGGCCAGTGTCCTATGCCCCGTAGAGCATGGCCTTCAAGTAGGGACTTAGTAAACATGTGATGAGTGAGTGAGAGCACGATCGGAGCCATGAGCTGAATGACGGCTCCTGAGGAAGACACCTCTGGCCAACTCGCAAAGGTCTTCCTTGCTGGCCAGCCAGATGGCAGTGACAGCCAGGAGGCTCGTCTGGCTCACACAGTAGGTCTGCTGCAGAGAAGGCTTAGAACCCAGGTCTCCTGGCTCCAGTCCTGGTCTCCAGCCACAGCACCAACCTGTTTACAAGCTCCAGGAGCTGCTGCTCCTTGTTTCATAGCAGGATCACCCCGACCTGGCCAATGCTGCCCCATATGTTGTTCGCTTAAAACAAAGGCAGGCAAGTCTTTGGAAGTTCAACAAGGAGATGCAAATGGAAAAAGTCTAAGAGGACAATACAGCAGCTGAAATCAACCTACTGTGTACAAAATCGAATAAACGTGAATTTGGGGCAAATGTGTCAGGAGGCAAAGGGAGGAAAGACTGAGTGAGAGAAAGCAGGGCACACTGGGGAGGCGAGAGAAGGCTGGTGGGGCGGAAGCAAGGAGAGAGACAGGAGCCAGAGGTCCTGGCAGTGGGGTCTTCACAAACCCTCACGTTGCCTCCACCCCTTGGAGGATGGTTGCTAAGAGGAGACCTCACAGCCTTTAAACAAAAAAATACCCATGAGAGTGCTCTTTCGAAAGCTCGTGTTGTCCAACAGGAACGCTTTCGGCCATGCTCTCCATTCGGCACTGGCCAAGAGCTGGGGTCCCCAAGGATCTGGAGAACTCCTCCAGGGTTCCAGACATCTAGGTAGATCTGGATTTGCCCGCATTCTGGAAATGCACGGATGGCCTTCTGAGCTCTGGCGAACATCCCCACCCCCAGCCAACGATTCCAGAGAACCCCTCTCAACTTCCACAGAACGTTTAAAAATCTCAGAGAGAGGTTCCCGGGACTTAAAATTCTGGGAGATTCCTACAGTGCGTCAGGATTTCCAAGAGCTGCCCCCGATTCTAACTGGGGGAACAGAGACCATCTTCGAAGTTAGAAAGTTCCAGAAAACTATTACTCTATTTCCTGAGGCCAGAGACCCGGCCCCAAACTCTGGCATTCCGGGGAAGGACTTTGTCTCTCAGGGTTCCAGAAATGCCCCCTGCAACCTACAAATTCTCAGTAAGGACCACTGGTTTGAAGAGTCTGGATACATTACTGGAGTCGGAATCCCTCCGGGGTTTAGGGATTCCGGACAAGTGGCAGTTCCAGAGTAAGGATGCTGATGGGGAGACGGGCACACGGCTTATGAGACGTGGGCAGTGGAGACCCATCCCCTTGATCCGTCTGTCTCTGGGAAAGCAACTGGGGGTTTTGCTGAGCTGGAACTAGGAAACTGGAAAATCGTGGCTGGCTCCAGCGGGAGAAGGAATTGTCCAAACACGAGTGAACCGGCAACAGCCGGGGTCCCCCTGGGTGGTCCCTGTCCATCCTCCCAAAGCAGCCAAGGAAAGCTCTCATGCTCAGAGCCAGGGGCCTCCCCTGCCCGGGGCTGAGACCTCCCAGCAAGCAGGGCCCTGATACAGGGAGTGAGAGAAGGGCTGTGGGGAGAGGACGGACTCAGGCTCGAACCTGCCGAGCCACCCAAGCTGACGTGGCATCAAAATTACCCACAGGCGAAAAAAGTGACTTGACAGCATTCATCAGGCGCCCCCCACTCCCTCCGGTGGACGCGGTGACCTCTTAGAGCACTTAAGTCACCTGCCCAGGATCGCTGAGATTTGAACCCGCATGGTTCGGTCTGTGGACTAAACCAGCGTCCGCTCTGCCTGGCCCGGCTGCCCGTCGTGTCTGGCCGTCACTCCACATCCCTGTGTCCTCCCGCCGTGGACACTGGCCTTCCATGAAGTCACCACTGTGCAACGCCCCTAATGCTTCAGTCACAAGTCTTGCCTTTCAATACCTGGCCGCTGGGAGCTCCCGCCTGGGCTGACTCTGCCAGCCCCAGCTTCAGGGACCAGCCCTTCAGAGACAGACTCAGGGGTCAGGGGCCCTGCAGTGCGACAGGCTCAGAGAGGCCCGGTAGGCTGCCTCAAGTCACACAGCACACTGAAGTGTAGCTTTGAGGTGCCTTGCTTTTCTCTTTGGGTCCTCACTGCCCTGGGGAAAAGGGGGCATACTTAGGGAACATTCCCAGGCTACCTTCCAGAACGGTGGGTAGGAGAGCAGCGGGTCTTTGCTTGCTTGGTCTTGCACTGGGGAGTGGGTGGGGGCAATAGGACTTGACGTGCTCAGGCCAGGCCTCTGGGCAAGTCTGAGCACCATTCCAGAAGATGCTGTGACCCCCTCCCCAGGGGCCGCCCAGACTCCCTGATCCTCGGCAGCTGCTCCCTGGCATGCCCCCTGGCCTCGGCCAGCTCCTCCCCCAGTGCTCCCCAAGCCCATGGCTGAGGCTGGCCTGTCCGGGGCCTTGCCTGAGCCCAGGGCCCAGGTCTCAGGTGATGCGCAGCCCAAGGCCTGGCTCAGGGACTGCTGGTTGGGGCGTCCCAACCCCTCCCTGAGCTGACTTTTTACTGGTCCCCCTGCCTCCAGCGCACCCTCCCAGTCAGTCCACCTGCCACAGTGGCCAGTGTGACCTACGTGCAAATCCAAGCTGGTGGCTCCCCTCTGTCCTCGGGACCAGCCCAACTCCGGGTGTGGCCTACAGGTCATGCACTTCCTGGCCCCGGCAACCCTGGGAAGCTCAGAGGTCTCCGGGCCTTTGCCTCCGCAGCCCCTCCACCCGCCCTGGGCCACCGTTAGCCACCCTCGGAGCCTTCATCAAGGCTCTCTTTGGCACATCTTCCCCGATCCCCTCAACAGGTTCTGATTGGGTGACCCTCCTCCCTGCCTCCAGTCCCCTGGGTTTCCCCCATCAAAGCACATCTGTAAGGTTCTAAGTGTCTGTCTGTCTGTCTCCCACCAGACTTGTGAGCTCCTGGGGCAAAACCAGCTTGTCCCTTGTCAGTCTAGTTCACCACTTGACTTGCAGTTGCTGCCAGTGGTGTTTGTTGAATGAATGAGTGAGTGAACGTATGAAGGGAGGGATGAATCAGGTGGGTCTGCTTCCCTAACTATAAAATGGGGTTCGCTCAGCCTCGCGGCTCTTTCTGTAATGAGGTCGTCCCACTCGTACCCCCAATTTCTCACGTCAGGTCTGAACTTCCCCATAATTGTAGATTTGCTGCATCCTACACCGGGCACCAACCTGGGAATCATGATATTCCCCACCTCCCTGCCCCTCACTAGAACTCACCAGGACAGGGAACTGTGTCCCCATCTCACTGCCTGAAAACCAGACAGTGGTCCAGGGAGGCGGCAGGGCTTGCCAGAGTTTCGGGGCAGGTCTGCAGCATCACAACTCAGGCCTCGGGACCCCTCAGCACCAGGACACATGTGGCTGGCACAGAGAGAGCCGGCCCTCGGTCCACCGCCTGCCCAGTTCACGTCCCCTTCATGGAGATGCTCACCGTTCGATTTCCCACGCCTGCCCCGTGGCACGCTGTATTTGCTCAGTTAAACCTTGTGTAATATAGGAAAGGAAATGGGAAAAGGAACATTCTTGATCTGAAGGGGACACGCACCTCTGCCAAGAGCCCTTGCTTCCTCTTCTTCAGACTCCTCCAGGAGCCCCTCGTCTCTGGGATTCCTCCATGCAGCAGTGACTGACTACCCGGAGGACAGGACCAGACAGATGTGGAGCTGATGCTCTCTTTATTTGTATATTTCATCACCCGCTGCCTGGTTTCTCCTGAATCCAGTCTCATTTCTTGTGGTCTGAGGGGGCACCCTCCATTTGCTCCCCCAAATCGCCCCATCAGGCCACACCTCCGGCGCTCAGGACCTGTCCTCGGCCGGCCCAGCCGCAGAGTGGAGCAGCAGCTGCCATCCCCATTTAACAGATGGGGAGATGCAGACGCCCGCCCGAGGTCACACAGCATCTCCTGGGTTTCCACTGTGCCCTCAGCAGGGAGGGAGGACCCGGCTAGGGCTCCGTGGGCCCTCACTGGCGGGCGGCTGGCTCCGGCCCCGTCGCAGGGAGCTGCCGATTTGGTCTCTGAGGGCCTCCAGTCTCCGGGCCAGGTTTGGGACTGCAGCCCCACCTAAGGTGCATGGTGAGACTTGGGGTCTGCACTCCCCCGGGCCCCTGCCCACCCAGGCCCCTCCGGGTCCCCACATCCTCTGGGGAAGCCTCGGGTGGTACCCCGGCCCACCTCCCACATACACCATGGACTCCAGCATACGTCTGGACACACACATGACCCCAGGAAGAGAATTCAAAGTTTGGGCACTAAAAGATCTTAGAAATCATTTAACACCCAGCCTATTTCCCAGATGGGAGACTGAGATTCTGGCCCAAGATCAGAGACAACACCAGGGGCTTGTCCCTCTCTCCCCTCCTCACCTCTCTGCACCGGCGACGTGTTTGGGGGCACCATGGGGAGGGGGGGTGCAGAGGGTACCACCTCCTCCTCCATCAGCAAGTCCGCCAGGACCCGGGTCTGAATCCAGTCGCTGTGACTCCTGGGCCGGGGGGAGTCGGGGGGGTGGGAGGTGAGCCTTCAGCTTCCCACGCCTCCTCCTTCCCCACCCCAGAGCCCCACTGCCGGCCCACCTCTCTCTTTGGCATTTGGCAGAGCCAGGGCTGCAGGGGGGCACGCAGGGCGGGGGCCGGGCAGACAGGGGCACGCTGCCTGGGGCATGAGGGCCAAGCATCTGCAGGAAAGACCAGAACCCCCCAGGCGACCTGAGCCGTGCCTCTCTGCGCCCCACTTCCCTGGTGCCGACCACGACACCGTGATCCCTGCCACGCCTGCCCTGCGGGGCACCAGTAATGTCAGGTGGGCATAAAGGGGTGGGGTCCCTGTCACTTTGGCTGTGGGGAGCGGGTGGCCCTTGGAATGTCCTTTCTGGAGACTAGGAACTCCCTGAGGGTAGGAAACATGTTGGGTCTCTGTCTACAACCTCAGTGCTCAGAACAGGGACTAGGCAGAGCAAGGAGCTTCGAGAAAGCTACTGAATGAGTGAGTGAATCCACGAAGAGGTAAATGCATAAACCAGTGATGTGCAAGCGGACGAGCTTCTGCAAGAAAGCAGCATGCGGAGGGGGGAGGCGAGATCCACAGCTCCTTCGAGCCCCCTGCAGACGGAGCTCAAAGCCGGCCACTCACCCCCATGACCCAGCCTGGCAGCCGGAGCTCCGGAGCCCCCCAGAGAGCCGATCCCGTACACCAAGGTCTCCAGCGCTCCCAGCCTCCCCTAGCCCCACCTTGGTCCCTCCTACCTGGGACAAGTGGAGCCCCCTCCGTGGGCTGGCCCACTGGCCCAGTGGTGCTCTGCACAGGGGGCAGAGGTGGCTGCAGGGGCAGGAGCAGAGGGGTGGCAGGGCCTGCAAGAGGTCACGTCAGAGGCTCCGTGACGTCCCTGCTCCTCACCCCTCCAGGCTGGGCAGAGACTCACATGGCAGGAGGGAGCTGGCACCATCACACAGGGACACGGTGGGGCTGTGCCAGGGCCTGGCTGGTAAAGGGAGCAGGCAGACAGGAGGCACCTGGAAAGAGCAGTGGGGTCCTTGCCTGCCACCAGGCTGGCCCCCAAGTCCTCCTTTCAACAAACCCTCATGGAGCGTGTACTACGGGCCAGGCGCCGTTCTCAATGCTTTATATCTGAACTCATTCATCCCACCCTTAAAGGAACCCCATACAGTAGGCACAATACCATCCCCATGTGACAGAAGAGGAAGGCCAGGCAAGGAGACGTTGAATGACTCACCCAAGCCCCCACAGCTAGTAAGGGGCACAGCTGGGATGTGCACCCAGGTGGTCTGGATCCAGAGGTCAGACTCTTAACCATTGGCCGAGGCCCCCTTTCCCACCCGCCCTCTGGACCAAGGCCGTGCTCACCGCTCCAGCTCGTGCACCTGCTGGGCCAGGACGCGCTGCTCATCCCGGGCCAGGTCCCAGCTACTCTGCAGCTGGCTCTTTTCTTTCCTGGGAGGAGCGGGCCGCAGGAAGGTGACAGGAGGCAGGGCTGGTGGGGGTTGGGCAGCCCCTCCCCACTGCAGCACAATACAAGCCCCAGGAGGCAGGTGGGGACAGAGGGGAGCCGGGGACCGGGGAAGGGAGGCCGCACAGCAGAAGCGGCCCAGCGGTGAGGGGCGAGGCACAGAGTCCCCCTGGCGGGGGCTGGGCCCTACCTGAGCCTCTCATTCTCCAGCATGAACTCCTGGAGCATCCCGTAGAGGTTCTGCTGGGCCCAGGCCACCCGGCTCCCACTGAGCCCTGAGGCTGCAGGAAGGGGGAGATGGCTGGAGCCCCCGGAGGCCGAGACCCTATCTTCAGCCCCTTTCCCCACCCCTAGGGAGCTCATACTCTTGGGGTCCCTTTGGCCCAGTTGAGACCGCAGGCGACGGTTCTCCTCCCGGAGCTGCAATATCTCCATCTCCAAACGCTGGGGCTGCTTTGCCACAGGCGACTGCAAAGAAAGCGGCCCAGAGCTGCCGTTTATGGTTGTACAAGTTGTGCACTGCACAAGGGCTTCCAGGGGTGGGGAGTGAGTGGAACCTAAAATCCAGCTCAGGTTTCACTTGCCAGCCCTGCATCCTGGCACAAGGCTACACCGCCTGGAGGGGCACCTTCTCATGGCATCAAGGTGCCATGTGGCCTCAGCTGCATGCCCAGAGGGCCCGCTCTAAGCTGGACCCTGCTCCGAGTTCAATCCCAACCTCTGTTCTCTAAAATCCTTGACCCAGATTCTGACCCCAAACAAGACTCCAACTCAACTGACTTAATCACGATACCAGCGGGTATCCTGGCTAGACCCTGGATCATACCCCCAATCAGACTCCAACCCCAGACCTGCCCTGCCCTTGACCTTGACCCTGACCCTGACCCTCACCCCACCTACCCAACCACAACCCTATCCTCAGGATTCCAACTCTAATCTCAACTCCAACTCAACCCCAGACTTCAACCGGGACGCCAGCTCAGATTCCAACTATGGTCTGATCCCCAGCCATCGCCCCTGCCCCTCCTTCTGCCTGTGCCCCCCTCCAGTCACCTTGGGGGCCTGTGGTCGGGTGGTGACCCGCTGGGCTCGGCTTGCGTATCTCAGGGTGCTGAGAGTCTCGGGGAGGCACTGGGCTGAGGGGGACACGCAGGCCACCTGGGAGGAAGCCCCTGAGTGGGCCTCTCTGGAAGCTCCTCCCTCAGGCCCCACCCTCCCTGCCGGCCCCCCTCCGGTACCATGAGGGTGACCCCGCGCCCCCCCAGCGAGTCCGCCAGCAGCTTGGTGAGCTTGCTGTCCCGGAAGGGGATGTGGCTCTGCTTCCGCTGTGGGTCCAGCAGCAGGGAGATGCAGTGACCTGGGTGGGGACAGCAAGGCCCAGCAAGGTTATACCCCTTGCCCAAGGCCACCCAGATGGGGCACTGCAAGGCTGGGACCTCCACCCAGGCCTGTGTGACTCTAACATGCTTCTTTCCACCTGATGCCATCACTCACGCAGGTGGACCTCTGCCACCAGACTGGGGCTCCTGTGGGCAGAGAGGGCCCTGTCCGCCCCTGACCCCCAGTGCCCACCTACGGGCTTGGGACTGGGCAGGGGCTCAGGGGAGGGCTGACAAATGGATTGAATGAAGGGAGCTCCCTGAGCATCCCCCATGCACAGCACACAGCAGGGCGCAGGCCCCAGCCCTTAAGGACCTGGAGGCCCACGGCCTGGGGTGGCGATGGGAAAGAGCCAAGTCCACAGCAAGCCCAGGCCAGGAGGCCAGTGGCTCCTGGGTCACAGCTCTTTGACTCCTCCACGTACTACAACTCCGCTGGTTTCCCCCGCTGTGGACAGCAACGGGTCAGACGGAGAGGAGGGAGGCAGGAAGTCCGTCGAGCTGGCCCCCAGGACCCACCCAGGGCCAGCAGGCTGCGGTTGATGCTGTTGGCCTCAAGCATCAGCTCCCCGCGGGATCCTGTGGCCGCCACCTTCTCACTGCCCGCCAGGTCTACGAAGCACAGCTTCCCACCAACAGGGGCTTCCCCGGGGTCCACAGGAGGCACCTGCTGGTATTGGGGGACCAGGGCTTGACGGAGACTCGAGAGGGGTTGTCCCCACCAAAGTCACAAGGCCAAGGGTTTCCACAATTACCTCCTGTACATGCCCAAGCTGGTTAATACCTCCAGAGGCCGACCCTCGCTGGGTGGCCCAGAGCCAGCTGCTTCCCCAAGCTGGGGCACTCACGGTTTGGCGGCCGATGTAGAGTGTGAGTAGTGCGTGGCTTCGGCTGGAGGCCTGGTTCAGGGTGTGAGCTGAGCTCCTCCGACGGCTAAGACCTAGAGGAGAAACACACCAGGAACTGGAGCTGGGAGGAAGAGCAGGTGATCACGAGCGAAGAAAAAGGGGCAAAGGCATCCTGGTAGAGGGGCCAGCCTGTGCAAAGGCCCAGAGGCAGGAATGTGGAATGAGCTGTGGGTCTGGCTCTAGCATGGAGAGAACTGAGCAGAAGAACATCAGACACATTCATATTTTATAAACATCTCTCCCAACGCTGTGTGGAGGGAGGGAGAGACGCACAGGCAGAGAGATCAGCTGGAGGCAGGACACAAGGCTGGGGCCGGAACCCAGAGTCTCCCTGTCCCCAGTGCCTGCCACAGAAGGGTGCTCAATCAATGATGGATGAAAGAATGAATAAGACTGGAACAGAAGGGCCTTATAGGCTTGGCTAAGAGGCAGGACCTACCTCGGGGCACTGGAAGGATCTGGAGAGTCTAGAGGGGGAGAAGGATGTGGTTTGCTGCATGGAGCAGCAGGGATGGGAAGGGGAGGGCCTTCAGGCAGGGGGACCTCTCTAGGGAGCAAAAACGAGGCCTGACTACACAGAGGCCCTCGGTTGGAGGGAGGGGTGGGCCCAGAAAGAGCCTGGAAGGCGGAATCAGCAGGTCTGGGGGTGGGGCGGGGGACACATCCTTGGGCTGTGTCTGAATTGCTGGTGTGCTGGCCCTTTTTCTCCACGAGGGTCATCCCTGAATCCACAGCTCCAGCCAGGGGGCCCGAGAGCGCCCTCAGTGACCAGCCGAGGATGTCCCCTCACCCCAAAGCACCCCGAAAGCAGCACGCACCCATCTCCAGAAGCTCCATCAGGGCCCCCAGACTCCCAAACTCCACCAGCTGCAGCTGCTCCACATAGAAGCCCCGGGTCTTGTCCCAGCGAACGGGGAGGGGCCGGGGAGCCCCCAGGCTCAGCAAGTCTCGGACCTGGGAGATGAGGGTGGGGGGTGAGAGAAGGGGCCCTGAGTGCTTGTTCCAGATCCCCCTCCCCCCGGACCTTACTGAGAACAGGCCCCCCACCTATGCTGCCTTGACCCAGGCTCCCTGGAAAGAAATGCTTCCTTTTCCTTATGGGCCCTTTTTATTCATCTCAGTCTCCCACCTGCTCATTGTAGATCTCCAGGTAGGAGGCCTGGAGGGTGACAGGGGCACCCAGGTGTTGCACGCGGTCTAACAGCCAGGCGAAGGTCCTCTGCATGATGCCAGCCAGGCTGGGGGGGACAGGCACCCCCTCTCCCTGGGGGCAGAAACAGCTGAGCCTGCCGCTGGGTCCTCATCCTCAGGCGACCACAGTAATAACTACTCTTCGTACAGCACTCACTCACCCTTAGAACCTCTCCCTTAATTCTCACCGTCAGTACAATCACCTCCATTTTACACAGGAAGAAACCGAGAGCTAGCAAGCAAAGGGCGCAAAATTGGAACTCCAGATTGGGCAAGCCTCTGCACCTCTCTGGTCCTCAGTTTCCTTGTCCGCAAATAAAGGGGGCTGGGCTGCACCGTCCACGCCCCCTCCCTCGGGGAGTCCGCGCTGTCGGGGCTCCCCAGGGCTTCCAGCCACAGACCCCCGCCCCCCGCCCCGCGTGGGCTCTTCTGGCGCGCGGCCCACCTGGGGAGGAGGCCCGGTCAGGGTGTAGGTCTTCCCGGAGCCGGTCTGGCCGAAGGTGAAGACAGTGCAGGAGAAGCTGGGGGCGGCAGGGGCGTGGCTGGACGCGGGCTGGGGCCTGCGGGGATGGGGGCAGCGGGGAACCGGGCGGCGGCGGGGCGCCAAGCATCCCCAGCTTCTCACTCACCCGCGCAGCGCCAGCTCGCCCAGGCGCCGGACGCCGCACGCCCGGAACACGTCCTCCTGCGTGCGCGCCCCGTCCAGCACGGCGCCGAAGCGGAACGCCACGTCGGGGCCGCCGCCCGGGGGGCTCACCTGGGGGAGGGGAGGGTGGAGAAGGGGCGGGGCACTCTGAGGGGGCGGGGTCAGAGAGGGCGGGGCTCACCTGAGAAGGGGGTCTGGGTGGGCGGAGCTCACCTGGGGAGGGCGGGGCCTTGGTGGGCGGGGCTCAACTGGAGGGGGCGGGGTCGGCGGGGCACAGGGGAGAGTGGGGCTCGGTGGGCGGAGCTCACCTGGGGAGGGCGGGACCTTGGTGGGCGGGGCTTAGCTGCGAAGGGTGGGGCCTGGGGCAAAGTTACCCGGGGGAACTGACCCGGCGCACTCCCTGTGAGTTTTTTGGGGGGCGTGGAAGGGTTCCTCACCTGCAGAGTCCTGGTCCCTGAGCAGTGCAACGCGCTCTGTTCCCCTCGCCGCAGCTCGGCCGCGCTCATGGGACGCACCCTGGGGTCCGTCGGGAAGGTGGATGGTCCATCCCGATGTCTCCATCGGTCCCTTCCTCGCACGGACCCCTCCTAGAGAACCTATACCCACCTCAACACCACCTGGATGGGCGTGTCCGGCCCCTCTGGGCCCTGCTCCAGGCTCCGCGCGGGGTCCCTGTGGCGGCAAGGCGAGTTAAACCATCTCTGCTCCCCCGCCGCTGCTCGAACCTCCCAGAATCTCTGCTTACCCATCGGGGGACCCGCGTTCCTCCATGTCCTGCTTTGCACACGGAGTTAGCTCCGCCCAGGTCTGGTTCCTTTCCCTCCCCAGTCTCCTCCCTTCTCCTCCACACTGGGACTGGCTGTCCACCCCTTACAGCCCCCACGCTCTCCCTCCTTCTCAGGCAGCCATTCATCCGGAAAAGCTCAGGCCTGCCCAGGGCTAGCTAGTTAAAGATTTACCCACTCCCACCTCTGCGGTGGAGAAAGTCTCTCCCAAGGTAGGCGACCAGAGCGAGGGGGTTCCGGAGGCTGAGGACCCCTTGTTCTTGCCCAGTCCCATCTGGAGCGACCACCTAGACCAGCCTCCTCTGTGCACAGATGGGGATACTGAGGCAGGGATGGGAAGGACTCAGTCAAGGCCACACAGCAAGCCTGGGCCGAGCATGGACCACGGACCAGGCAGGTTTTCCCTACTCACTCCACATACTCCTCCTCCAGCTCCATGATGCCTCCCCACCCCCAACCTCCCCAGCAGCTCCGGGGCCCAGAGACGCGAGGGGTCTAGCGGGAGGGGAGGGGCCCAGGTCTCAGTTCCACGAAGACCTGGCTGGATGGAGTTCCTGAGCTGAGCGGACAACAGGCCCGGAAGGCTCTGGTTAAACACTGGGCCACCTGCTTTTCCAATGCCAAGGCCAGGGCGGTTGTTTACTCCTCTCCTGGGCTGGCTGATGAGAGCAGCCGAGAGACGGCTGTGACTGCGCTGGGGTGGGGCAATCCCCCATTCAGTGGCGGTCCCCATGGTGAATCCCAGAGTCTTGCTAGGGAGATGGGTAAGTGCGATCTAGCGTGCAGGGGCTTTGGGGGGAGCTCAGAGGCCCATCAGAGTAGGGAGGGAGGGGGGAGGGGAGGGTGCTTTAGGCAGAGGGGACACGCTGCAGGAAGGCTCGGGTGGGATGGGGGATGTGTGTGGGATGTAGCGGTGGTTTGAGGCTGGACCAAGCTCATGGAGGAGACATCAAAGAGTCTGGACTCACTCCTCAGAGAACCAGGAAGTCACTGAAGGGTTACAAAGGGGAGTGACACCATCTGATAGGCATTATTATTATTATTGCCATTTTGGCTGTCTCTGCATGTTCTCTGAATATTTCTGTAAATCCCTCTTACCCCAAACAAACATTAGGATGAACGAAAGCTGTAATAATCACCCCTCCCAATGTAACACGCTCTATCCCACCACATACGACAGCCAAGCATCAGAGCCACCCAGCTAGGGAATGGTCTATCTTGGGTGGTAGTGAGCTCCCCATGCACCGGAGGTGTGCAAGCAAGAGCCAGTTAACCTTTTGGGTACAGGGCCTTCTAGCTGGATCTATAGAGAGAGTTAGGCAGAGCAGAGCCACTGCCCCCAGCTCTGCTGCCAACATACCACAGATCCTTGGGCAAGTCATTTCCTCTTTCTTAATCTGTTTCCTTCCCGTACAAAGAGATTAATGATTTTACATAGCTGTTCTGAGATTTCAGTCAGACAGGGTAATTGAAAGCAATTCATAAATTGTAAGGAATTCTCTAGAGGCCCAAAATGAGAAAGCTCTAGATGATCTCCAGGGTCCCTCTCAACTCTGAAGTTCCCTCACCTGTGATGTTTTTTGCATCCTTGAGGTGGATAGGACAAGAATTACTATTCCTGTTTTTCAGATGAAAAAACTGAGGAGAACAGAGGTACCCAGGGCAGGCTGTCCACGGAGTGAGCAGCTGTAAATGGGCAGCGAGAGCTGAAACCCAGAACTGTGAACCCCGAGTCTAGTGCCGTCCGTGATGGCAAGTGGCCTTTTCCAGGGGTGAACCCAACAAGGGGACGAGCTGCTCCTTTCAATGGCCTTAAAGCGTTCAGGACTATAGGTCCTTCACATCTGGGCGTGCACTGGCTTGATCAGATTGCTGTCGCCCCTCAAACTGGACCGAGGTGAGCCACCCAAAGGGACCTTGAGGAAAGTGCAGAGATGAGGGACATGCGCACATTGGGGGGTGATGAGCTGTTTGATGCGGACGTAAGACCAGGCTTCCCAACCTGGGTCAGCATGTGTCCATTGCTGGGTGTCCACAAGCAGGAGCGAAGTCCTGGTTCTGTTCTCTAACAGTGAGTGCAAACATCTGCTACCCTTCCATTGAGCATTCATTCCACAAATTTTTAATAAGCCTTCTCTACGTGCTGGGCTTCTAGGCATGGGAGATGCATCAGGGAACAGAACAGACAAGCCCGTGTGTGTGGGGGGAGCGGAGCATCTGGAACTCCCATATGTTCTGGCTGAGAGTGAGATACAACCATTTTCTGAAAACTGCTTGCCAATATCTACTAACGTGAAACATAAGCTTATTTGATGATCCAGAATTTCCACTCTTAGGTCTGTGCCTGATAGAAATGAGAACACACCTCCGCCACCTCCATCCCCACTACCGCTGTTTCTGCCTTTGTCATCGTCATCATTACTGCCACCATCACCACAACCCCATCACCATCCTCACCAAATTCCTACCATCCCCACCAAGACCTGCATAGAGAGCAGCCCCCAGAATCATTTAGTCACTGCAGCCATCATCAGTGCCACCATCGTCACCGTCTCCACCATCACCACCCTCCTCATCACTATTCTCATCATAATAGTAACAGGTGTAAACACCTCCTGTGTTTATTCATTTGAAAAAATTAAACATGTAACACCTGGGCTCCCAACCAGTGGTACCCCTCATTGGCCACGGTGCTGTCTGTTCCCACAGCTGGGACTGAGTCCCTGTGTGTCCCCCTCCCGTCGTCACCCTCTTCTGAGCCTGTCCTCTATTCCCAGCCCCCACCTTTTCCTCGGGAGCCGTGGGAGCCCCGTGGTGGAGGACGGGACAGAGGGAAGGCATGCTGGGAAACTCAGAGCATCTCAGAAGCCGGCTGGACTCCGCAGGGGCGCATCTCCAGGCCTCACTAGAGGGCAGCAGAGCACCACGCCACCAGAGCCCCAGGGCTCCTGACAAAGGAGGCTTTGTCAAGCGTGGCCTCGCTCCTTCCATACATTTTCTCCCCAGCTCGTGCACTCTGGAGGGGCTGGCCAGCCTGGTGTTGTGGAGAGGGCTGAGCAGGCCCTCAAGAAGCGTTCCTTGAGAGAGTGAATAAAAGCAACGTTGGGCAATCGGGGGACCGTCCCACGCGCAGCCCTGCTCCTGGGTCCAGCCTCTTTAACTTGACTTCCTGGGGCCTCAGAATAAGCCCTGAGCTCCCTGAGCGGGCCTCGTTCGGGCTCCATCTCCTGTTGACCTCCCCGGCTGTCCGTCTCCTCTACCCACCGCCCCCACCCCGGCATCCCGTGCGCCAGCCCAAAGTTTCCTAGGCTTCTGTTGAATGCCTCGAAAGCTTCACCCCCGTTGTTCTGTCTGCGGGGAGCGCTCACTGCTGCCCGGTGGACTTGTCCTGCAAGCCTTTGGTAGGAAGCCCTCCCCAGGACCCCCTACCCACCAGATCAGTGTGGAGCCGCCTCTGCGTCCCCACAGCCTCCTGGGCTTCCCTCTGTTACAGTCCTGACCACACTGGGTTGCTCTTCCTGTCTGCTGGGGGGGGGGGGGGGCGGCTGTGTTGGTCTCTGAGCCAGTACAGGGCCCTGTGCACAGTAGGAGCTCAGCAAATGATGGTGGAAGGAGTGGGGGTGGCGGGGGAGAGGAAGGGAGGCTGGTGAGACGGTTGCTGGATGCACCCCTCCCTGACCTCCTCGCCCGCCTCTCTCCCTCCTCCCTCCCTTCCTCTCCAGGCTAACCACAAACACTCAACTGCATGATGTCAGGATCGTACAGGGACTCATTTATCACGAAGATCATCAGCTCCTTCCACAAAGCTGCTCTCCGATGTGCCCAGAAGCTGAGCGACACTCTCCCAGCCCCAGCCAAGCTGGCCTCTGGGGCCCAACTATCTGCTGCAAATTTAGAATTCCCAGAGGGTGGAGGACAGGCTCCCCTGGACCCTGGTAAACCCAGGAGTCAATGCCCTCTGCTCCTTCCAGCACATTCCACGGGAGGGCTCGTCCCCATTTGTCAGCTGCAGAGACTGAGGCGTTGTGGGAAGAAGTGGACCCAGGCTGGGGCTCGCCCTGCCGGACAGCCTTGCATCGGACTGAGGCGGGACGGGATGAGAAGGAAGATCCCGGAGGGAGGAAGTTCTGCCTTCATCACACAGCGCTCATCTTCGCTCTGCACACACTCGGACCCCCAGCGGAGGAAAAGCCAGATGGAGCCAGGGCTGTTGTGAAATTTCCCGAACGGGGCGTGCTGTCATCTTTCATTAAACCGTGAATATAGGCCAGAGGACTCATTTCACAAAGTTCTCCAAGGCAGGAACCCAGGGGACCACTGAAGTAACTTCTAGCTGGCCCCTCACCCCATTTTACAGATGGGAGAACAGAAGGGGAGGCTAAAGCAGCCGTTGCCTTCATGGTGGAGAGCAGCGACCTTGGAGAGGAAGGAGAGAGTCCCAGCGACCCACTAGCACCCCCGGGCCCCGGGTCTTTTCCCTAAACGACTGGCCCCTTTCCTCTGAGGCCTCGCATGGCTTCTGTGCTGTGTGTGGCGGGGACTGGCGGCCACACCAGGCTTCCCCTGGACAAGGAGCTATGTGAGGGTAGGGGTCACACCCCTACGCCCAGCACAGGGCCGGGCGCTGAGGCACCCCACGAACTGTCTGCCTGATGGGGGCACGAGCACCCAGCAAGAGGCAATGAAACGCCCAGAAGCCAAGCCGTGTCTTTTGGTAAAGACGGGCCTCTCTGGCTGGTTGTGAAATCGAAGGATCCAGACTTGAAACTTCCGGTCGTTTCCAGAATCTCAGCTCTTATCCCTAAAAATGTCAACAGCTTTCCCCTGAGTCATCTACCCCCGTTTCACCCAGGAATGACTTACCTATGAGCTGGAGGTTTTCCTCTAAAAACGGTAATGTTACTGTGTAAGAATGTTAAGAAGCCTGAAGGACCCTCTCTTGCACGAGGATGCCTCATGTGTCCGGAAGCTTCCGGGTCAGAGGGATGAGAATTAATACTTACCAATCACTGGGCACTTTTTCTGCTTCATTTTAATTAAGTTTCATAGCAATCCTCTGGGACTGGCACTACGATTGTCCCCATTTTACAGATGAGGAAACTGAGGCTCAGAGACATTCAGTAACTTGCCCAAGGTCACACAGTAACTAGGAGGTGGAGTGGCGATCTGTCTTGTCTCCTGTCCTCCACTCTGCAGCCTTTCTCTGCGAGCTGTTCGGTACAGGTGAGTCTGGACGCCTGAAGCTGACCTAAGCACATGGTTTGCCTTAGCTGAACCGTCTCTGTTGAAACATGCTCCCATCTCACCTTTCGCTCTGTCCCACCTTCTTCCCTGGGGACTGTTGAGTGATGCTGTAAGGCCGTGGCGCTCCACCCTTGGCATCAGAACCTGGGGACACCAGGCCCCACCCAAGAGATTCTGGATAACTGGTTTGGGGGCACTGCCAGGGCGTCCATGTTGTTAGAGCCCCCGGATGGTTCTGACGTGCAGCCGGAGGGACCATGTCCGCTCTCGAACTTTCCTGATGGCTGACGTCATCCCTCCCGCGTGT